CGTGATCTGCTGCCAAATGAGTACAAGGAATAATATTTTTATGCTTGTTCCTTACAAGATATATTTGGACTCATAAGGGTGCCGAAAATCAATAGGAACAGTGTCAACTAATTAAACAGTCATCTTTTGCCAAGAACAGTCATTTCAGGCGAACGAAAAAAGTGCATTTAAAAGTCAACATCCTAGCGTGTCTGAAAGACCACGGCATTATCCTGCAAGATAATAGAAGCGAATAAGCGAGTTCCAGGAAGTAGTTGCGAAGAAGAAGACACGGTCGCTGGAACAAGAGCTTTATTAGCCTGGCGTTTCGGACTCTCACTCGAATCCATAATCAGAGACAGAGTCAGATAAGGGTAGTGGATTGCCCAGGTGTTGCGATATTTATAGGATGTAGTTGATAGGCCGATACATGCCTATCACAGTTGGCAACTCCTGAACGCATCACAGCTCGAATGGCCAGGTGTTGAAGTACGCTGTTGCCATGCCGTTGCTGTTCCCCTGCATGCCGGTCAAGATTATCGGCCCCCCACGCTCATCGCACGCCGCCGAGTGGCTGACTACCGGATTTTGTCATTCATGTGGACTCTTGGGTGATTTGGCTCACCGATAATGATACCCGCGACAGTGGTTATCCGCACGCTCTCCTTGCGGCTGACTACTTTGCCAAGGCTAATTCTCAGCGCCGAATATGGAGAGGGGAGGCCGTTGTGCTTGTTGATTGATTGAGGACCGGAAAACCATTACTAGAGCAGTTCGCGGCTCACGCGGTTGTCGTTTCTAGCAAGAATTTCTGCTTCGTCAAACTTGAATGTGTGGTTGAATGAGTCGCGACTTGGGAGTTGGCGTCGCTCCTCCCACTGCTGCCGCGTGCTCGGTCAATCGCGTCCGGAGTAGTCTTCCGACTTCTCCAACATAGCTGCTCTGTCCAAAACTACACCAGACTCGGTAAATGACTCCAGATGTTTCCAGCCGAGGCAGTGGGTCTTTCGGCCTCATGATCTGGCGCCTTATGGTTGCCTGCAGTCTGTGTGCAACTCCAATTCCAAGGGGCGTAAGAAGGCGACTGACGGCTTCCAAGGCATTCTTCACGTATGGGACAGCTCGCCAAAATTTGGGGACCGTTGGATTTTGTCTCTCGCCTCGTTTACGCAGGCACTGGTTGATGAAGTTGCGCGGTAGTCATTCACTTTAAGCACCCGTCAAAGGCATTATAATTCAGCAACCTTGTCTTCCGGTTCACTGCAGTGTGTCCACATCCGCTGGTATAGCTCCCTTACGCAACTGCATTTGTGACTGATCGGGTGGTTGCTGTTGAAGTTCAGTATTTGCGTCGTGCCTGTTGGTTTCCCAAACACTTTGGGTTCTAAACCACAGCAATCTTTGAAGCGGACGAGGGCATCAAGAAAGGCCAGCTGGTTGTTTTTATCCGCCTCCATCGTAAACTGAATGTCCGGGACGACGGCGTTGAGGCGTTCCTCAAATTCCAACACCTGATCCTGCTCGATGACGACGAAGGTATCATCCAAATATCGAGTCCAGAATTTCGGTCCGTGGTGTTGAAAAACCAGCGACTCCAACCTTTGCAGCACCGCTTCGGCTAGGAGTCCTGAAATCGTCGAACCCATTGACGTGTCTCCTTCTCCGCTGCAAGAAAATCAGTATTGTAACCCACTTAAGTACTCCTTCCTAATCGAGTAGACATTTCACTATTTCGGTCTACACTTCATGAGAATGGTTGCTGACTGTAGCTATGTAAACAGTTCTTCTTAATGATGGAAGTCTGTTAGTGTTGCAAGCGCGAAAGCTAAATTTCCATCTTCAAACTCACTCAACAGATAATAATGGACGTTCTTTAATCTTTTGAGGCACACATTGTGACATTGCGCGGTGTACTGTGTGCCGGACTTTAAATAACACTAATTATTGGAGGATAGTTGCTGAAAATATAAATATAAGACACTTTTTGAAAGTTACTGTGCTTATGCCGTTTTACTTACTCGGTTATCTACATGGACAGGCATTATGCACCTCAAAAACTCGAGTTTGGTTATTTTGAATATCAAAACCTCCGCCTTTCTTAAGGAATACGTTTTTTCTAACAAGTGAAATAGTGCTTCAATATATATTTTACATTTTCGTTTAGCTGGAGTTCGTTCATGAGTAGCTTGGTGTTTTGGTGGAGGTGTTTGGACAAGTTTCGATAGATTCATGATTATACGTTTATTTGGACATATTTCATGAATAGGTCGCCTACTGTGCATAGTGTAAGAGCGCCTTGTCTCTAAGGTCGAAAGCTTATTTGAAATGTGAAATCGCATTTTGAGTTGAATTCTACACAAATATCTATATTATGTCTTTTTTCCTCAGAAGTTAGTGCATGCACTTGGAATAAATCCTTCGGGACGAGGCTTTCTAGTCTTGTTCCGAAAGTTGACATAGATATCTGAAGTGAAATCGATCAGCTTCAATATTTCCAAACAGACCTTTGGAAGATATCACAAAGCAATTAGTTAATCAGTAAATCATGGAACGTCGGACGCATATTCCTTAGACAATAGAGACCCGATTTGTATTTTTCGACTGAAATAGCGACCTTGACGTTGTGTGAAAGGTTTGAACCGTCCGCATTTTCAGGAAATGGAAGTGCCGGCCTACATGAAAAGGCCCACCGAGACTATTAATGGAGCATCAGTTTGGAGGTTTGGCTATGCTGAGAAAATACTGACTTCTGAATCAGAAGAATGCGACGGCTGCCTTGCGAAACGCGCTAGCGGTAGTCATCCTGACTGTTCCTGGTCGGTGGTAAAAATTGCTGTTCACACCAGAAATCTTATATGAGTAAAATCCAGCATTTTGGCCTAATTGAGCGGAGTTTCATATAAACCATGTGATGGCGCGTGAAGGTGGATCTCTCAGTACCACAGGTGCCTTTGCGCCAAATTCCAGGGGTTTCTATTCTGTGCCCCAACGTAAACCCGACCTCGGCACTTACCCTAACCATCCCATCCCTAACATTAACCCTAACACTAGCTTTCATGACCCAAACACCAACTCTCATGACCATAACTCTAACCCTCCGAGGAATTTACGGCAAGGTCATCTGTAGTACGAAGGATCGGTATTCCTGTGCCCGACCGATCCCCCATCCTTGGGTAGAATAACTTGCTTGCGAAATTTTCAAGGGTGCATATATAAGTCTTACTTTTGAGCTTTTCGTAATTTTCATATAAACAATAGGCATTTGCCTGCCATGTAAGATCTACAGAGCAAAGTAATTAGCAGATTTTTTGATAGCATCTTTTCCATCCTCACAGATACCCATTCATATCCCTCCATTGAAAAGAGGAAAATCGGATAAAGCAATATGGACTCGTTGTAAGGTTGTTCGGGGGAGTTTTCTACTACGATGAATGGAGAAAGACTGGATGGAACTACTTTATTACATAAATATGCCAGTAATATCTCACCTATCGGGGAATGAAGGAAAGATAACTAACGACTGCGGAGTTTTCTACTGAGACATGGGGAAGTATGCAATAGAAAAAAGTTGACTGTTGACTCTTCATACCCCTTTCGGTGTGGGTGGCGACATTCAAGTTGCCAAAATAAACTGCCCAGTTTTCATTAAACATTAAAATTCATTGGAAAATAAATAAGTTGCAGCGATAACATGTTACTTTTCCTGGATCCTTAGGTAAGGTCATGGATGTAGAGTGTCAAATCAGGAGCCCGGTGTTGATTATGCTGCCACGAAAGATGGCTTCCATTCACGTTTAATTTTTTTAAGAAACGACGAAGCACGCCATATGCTCCAATAGTTTTTTTTTAGTTATGTTCTCCGCGAGTGAACAAGAAGTCAGTAGTTTACAACTATTTTGAGTCATGAAGTGTAAATTGGTTGCGGTTCTGTCTGTACATGGCATCTTGGCTATTTCTGTGTGCTGTGCTGACCTTTCGTGAGTTGTGCAAAAGACGATGAGAAGACTCCTCCGTTGTGTAAGAGGGAGTGGAAAAACTCTTAAGTCGCTAGGGCACCTCTCATCATGCTGCAAAGGCAACCCGACATCTTCTGTGTCCCACGCTCCAATCAGAATAGACCAGCGGTCTACACGTTCACATGGCTAAGGTTGTTTATTACAAAGCCAGATGTTCCCTCTGAATTCCATGGTACCATCCCACTTCCGTCTCCGAATCACTTACTTTAGAAACTAATTCATATCGGTTGTCGACTACCAATTGACTACTTTTAGTCTTTACTCCGAGGATTTGCCTTCGCCTTCACGTATGCCTGTAAGACTTATGCTTTAGACTTCCTTCCTGTATGTTGAGTTTTTTACAGTTATCTGGTTGATGAGGTTGCCTAAGGAACGATCATATGTCTCACAGCGTCTTGTCTGGATGTGCCGAGCCCATTACTCAAGCGTCATTGTTCCTCACTGGACTTAATCTTCTTTATTTAATGCAGAAATTATGTAGTTTAATTGACTTTGTTTTATTTGCTGACATTTCTTCTGCAACCTAAGGTAACGCAACACAGCATAATTTGCAAACTGAGTGAATGGCGTAAGGAAGTTTTCGATCCGACAGTTTGCGCATCGTCAAAGAAGTACCGACAGAAAAATCGATAGCAAGCTCAGTGAGCATCTGCCTGCGCATAGGCAGTCCCTTTTTCTGGCGCGGAAAGCTTATCGGTGTCCAGTCCAGTTCACTTTTTGCATGCATTTGCGAACCATTGAAAATATGCATTTCAGGAGGACGCAGCGCTGACCTGAGCTAACGTCCTCTTAACTGCAGTGAGCTGGATGAAAGGATTGTACTTTATAGTTACTTCCGGTTAACTGTTTGATCTCAAAGCCATTGTGTCCTGATTAAATTTTCTGCCTTCGCTAACGTGGCTAGGTAGTTCCTCAATCTAATTCAGTCATACTGATGGCAAATGCTAAAGCAAAACCTCCTTTGCTAAGGCAGAGGGAAGAAGTATGCACACATGCGCTAGTCGGATGCGAGTCGAGGATACTGAAATGGGCAGCTTCACTGCAAAGCTTCCGACCCTCCATCGTGCCGATGTTTGTCAATCAGGCAGCGACGCAACGGGACTGGTCCAGCGCATCAGGTGTTCCAAGACAGGTCGAAGCCCCCGGGTGCCGTTCACGCGCGCACAGGTCGAAGGACTGGAGGCCAAATTCAAAATTACCAACTACCTGAGCAGCCGAGAGGTCACTAACCTCGCAGCGTCCCTCAACGTCACAGAAACGAGGGTGAGTGCGTGTGTGTGGTAAGACTGCTTTAGAAAATGCAGATGAATTCCTTTAATAGCCTGTACTCGGTAGGCAAAATTGTGCTGGGATAGTGAAGTATGATTGACAGGGCTACAACTCCGCGGTGATGGTCTGTAAAAGGTCTTCTCAACGAGCGGTGGCTTTAATAACACCGGATGTGTCCTCGCCTGCTGGCAAAGCCAGGTCTGCATATGCAGTTCCATGTTAGAACCAAAAAGGGAACAAAAGCCCAAAATTTTTATTTGACTATGGCTGAAGTGACCTAAAATGCCTCTTCGTGACCTTTTTCGGTGAACAACAACAGAACTTACTCACTTCGAAAAAGTCACTTCGAAGACAGCAAAAAGACCCCACTCAGATAAAACGATTTAAATGAAACAGACCGAGTTTTTGTTTGCCTCATTGTGAGTTTAGAATCGGTTCTGCGGTCGAACGCGTGGATATGGATCCCCCAATACCATAGGTGCCTTTGCGCAAAATTCCTATTCCGTGCCTAACGTTAACCCCGACCTCGGACTTGCCTTAACCGGCCCATCCCTAACACTAACCCTCATGACTATAACCCTAACCCCCCTAGAGTTAACGGTAAGGTCATCTGTAGTACGAAGGATCTGTATTCCAGCTCCCGACCGATTCCGCATCCTTGGATAGAACAAATTTCTTGCGAAATTTTCAAGGGTGCATATACAAGTCTTACTTTCGAGCTTTCCGTCATTTTCAGATAAACAATAGGCATTTTTGCCGGTAAGATCGCAGTTCGTAGCCAGGCATATCAGATTTTTTTGATAGCAGTTTTTTCATCCTCACAGACACCCATTTATTTTCTTGTGCGGCTGAGTTACTGGGTTTCTGTCTCAATCCGAAATCGAGTATTACAGCTGTTTCATGCAGCTTGTTAGTTTCGTTAAAGCACCATTGGCTCATTATGTCCGTCGACGGATCTCCTGAATTAAGAGGCGTTTGCAAACATCGAGATAATCTCACAGCCATAGTCGAACATTTTATCAGTTTTTTTTCTGTTACTATCACTATTTGTTGTCCCCTTATGCCCCTTGATTTATTTTGGCCGACTGAATCACTGCCTCTTAGATTCTAATTCAGTAAGCGAAAACGGCATTTTGCTGCTTTCTCTGGACTGCTCGTTTTTAAGACTCGTGATTTCCCCTCATAATTTCAATTAAACTTCGCAGAGTTTATTTGAAACTTCAGGCCTGATACAGTACACAGTCCATGATAACAAGTCTATTCTGTTCTACCTGTAGGATGGAGCATCGGCGACTACTTTTGTCTCGAAACTCCGGCCCAGGGCGTCCACGGGCGATGGGGCGCTGAGGAATCATAAGTGGGACAGACAAACGGTGCCGAGGGAGACTGGAATGGCCATTTCTGAGTTATCTGCGGCTGTCAGCCTGTCATACTTCAACACCATACCGGGAAAACCTGCCAGTAGGATCTGGGTCATCTGGTCACTGGGTATTACCGTCAGAAATTCCATAGCCTGAACGAGAAACCCCCGCATTTCTGACTGTGTGCGTAAAGAGCCAAAGTCGTTGAAACAATCCTAATTGAGCGATGGAATACGGACAACTCTGTTATGTCTTGGAGTTTAAGAGCCCTCTCAGACGGTTGCTTTGAGAAGACAGTGTGGATAGCTTGCTAGCCCTTATTTTCCAGTGTTTTTGAATATTCGGTCGGGTCTACGGTTCACGTAGTAGAGCTCCATGCAAAATCGCTCGCGGATGAATTGACCTCGGCCAAAACTTGAGGTCATCCTTGCCAGAGCGTGGGTATGGCTGGCTGCCGACAGAAAACAAACCAGAAATGGTCATTTGGAGTGGTATTTGGCTGTATGAGAATCACTCTGTAATTAAATATATTCTAAAGGGTAACAGGTAATACGTTTAAAAACTCCTGGGCGCATATAAAAGGGGAAAGAGATAACTATGCAGATTCGACGGATGAAGGGTCGCTGCCTTCTACTAACTTACTTCCGGTGACGTTACATAGGGCTTAGTTACTTTAAATGCCACTATAGAAGGCGGTGGCTGTCATCCGTCTGACGTACTAGTTGCAAGATATACTCCTTGCTTACAGGTGAAAATCTGGTTCCAAAATCGTCGAGCCCGACAAAGGAGGGAAGCATTCCTTGGGGAGATCCTGAGCTCGACAAACGGCACGAGGAGCGTGGATCCACCATACATGCCAGGTGTTCCGAACCCCGAGGCAACAGCGACAACCCATAACGAAAACAGGTTTGCACGGGGAACGATGTTGGAAAACATACTGGGGACACCGCCCTCGGTGCAGGCTACCTTCAATCCAGCCACGAATTACTGCCCGCCAGTGCAATGCCTAGTGTATCCGAACGATTGCCAAAGGACACATGAGACCGCGGGGCACGACCTGGGATTGTATCTAGGTGTCAACCTCGACCCCGCAGCCTCGGTTACAGCAACAGTACCATAATTGTTCCCAAGTCCTCCTCTTATGTCCTGCACCGGCTGATATTGATTGGCCTTGGTGTCCGTAGCCATGCCAACATTTATTAGATTCATCCCTAACATAATCTTCTCTTGAGGTTCTGCCTTTTGTTCCACCTTCAGAGAAACTTTGAGCCGCAATAAAGGCAGTGATCCTGCTCATCCTATGGTAGGTGTTCCATCAGATAGATTAAATATTTACCACGCGTTTCCTGTATTGACAGGGCCACAAATAGAAGAGTGTGGACGCATCTGACCTTATTCCGAGACTCTTGTTTGTCGGACGGATGAATAGCGCTTGACAGAATTGATTTAGGAGAGCTCTCCTCAGCGTGCACCGAGTTTTGCTAATTACACCAATTTATGTCGTAAAAACTAAGAGAACGGCACATATTGACAAGAGAAACGGGCCCCAGAAACAACAAACAGTCTGTATTAGGCCTCTGATTTATCCTGATAATGTATACTCCGCAGTAGCTGTTTTAATTACAGCCAGCAGGCTGTACTTCGGTCTGCCACCAATGTTTTGCTTGACTCTGCGGAAGTTGACGCTGCATCACAGAAAGCCCATAATAGAGGTTTTAGACATCCGCTATCGGTGACATCTTTCACGACGATTCTAGTGATCAAATGTCACTTGACATTCTGCTGGGTTTGCTGCTACGCCCAATTTACATGGCGTACAAACTGCCCACTCTCGCATCGATTCCTCTCTGCGAATTTCACAATGAAAATCAGCAGCACGCATGGTGGACTGTTTTCAGCAAAACGTGCATGTGCGCGCGTTGTTTACAAGCAATAACAAAAAGGCCAGCGTTAATCACACTTTTCGGGACAAGGAGGTCTGAGAGATACGAAGACCAACGAGCAGTGGCATTGATTCACCACGATATAGTTCGAATCGCATTTTAACTCATAAAACACCGTGCGGCTAGAAGGGCTGTCGGGTGCCGTATCCAATGGTTGCCGTTCAAATGCCCTTTGCTGACCGCCTTGATCCACGTTTAAGCAGTAGTTTCTGGCAAAATTAGTAAGTAACGTTTTAATGCTGGAGTACTACCACTGAGTTTGTGGTGCCCACTAAGAAGAGTTAGGAAAATAAATTTCCTGAAATTTAGTTCCCATTTACAGATAATCGGCAAAGTGCGTACCTGTACTTTTGGTTGGTGGGACGGGGCTGTGCTGATGGGCCTTTGTGTCGACTTGATAGAATGTCTGGTGTCTAGAGTTTGATAGTGGGCGGATTGTTGTACATTAAGGGTTAACACATTTCGGAATTCCGAAGTTAGGGAGACTGCATCCGATGCCGCTGCACAAGAAGCTAGAAAAATTAGATAGTCGAGACAGTGGACATCTATCTGTCTGTAGGTTGCTCCTTTTTCTCATAAAGAAGGCGTATGAGGGTCCAGTTTAGTTCATTTTTAACAGACTGTCGTTTCCCTCCGTCGTCACTAATAGGGGTCTCACTCGAGAGTAGTGTTCGCTGATTCATTCTTTTTGCGGGATTGAAATGAGCATTTCAGCTTTGCCGAGGAACGTGGGGTCTAAATCACGCACACAGTCGGCCACATAGGGCTTACCAGTGAGTAAGAGAGAAGTGTTGCGAAGTTGGCCAAAATAGCAACATAAAATCCTTTCAATTCAAAGTTCGGTATTTTTTTTCAATGGACGCCGGAGTTAAGTTCTTGGGCCAACGTCAGTGCTTTCGTCATCCGTCAGTAGCATCACTTATTAAGAAAATCAGTCTAATTACCATGCATTTAAATATGATAATGGATTTCAACGGCCCTATTTCAACAGTTTATTCAGTTCATTAATCTCTGAGAAATACTCTGAAAAGTTGAATGACGTGAGACCCCATAAGAGTCTTTCCGATTATCCTTTGCGGTTTGCAGTGATCTAAACCTTTTTGTCCGAGGTTACAAGGGGTGGCTTTTGCGTAAACATTAGACTAACCAGGATATTGTGTTTGAGCATCCAGACTGAGTTTTTGTCCAATTCGCCGTCTTTGGTGAACCTTGGGAATTTTTAGGGCACAGCGTGTGAAATGTTCTCGAAGTCTGGCGGACCCTCTGTTATCGTTGAAAATTACTTTTGCACATAAAAGTACTTGCCCTTCGTGTTTTTGAGGCAGTGCCGCCAGCATTTTGCCAGACCAGACAATCTAGTGCATTTTTTGGAGGAGGGGGGAGAGAGAGAGCGAGAGGTAGAAAGCCGTTATGTGAACCAGACCACCAGTCGCAGAAAGGAGCCTTTGACAACCGAAAGCCAATGCCACGGCCCCAGTATTTACCGCTAATAGGACGCGCCACTTGGGGCCAGCCGGTCGATACTTGCCTCTAAAATATACTTGCTGCCAGGGCGTGCGCCATGAATGCTCTTTTCCCCTGGTCTGTCAGAGCGGCAGTTTTGAACTGCGCGTCGTGCTTTCCCGGGCTAAATCAGCCGTTTCAACTTTGTTCGTAACATTCGAAGATATAATGTCAGCTGACATCGTCACAATATGGAACGATCATTTCTTCCTCAGAAAATTGACTGGAAAATCGTTTGGATATTGCAATTGATTCGGACACTATTACCAGCTGATAGTTCACACACCGAGACCTATATGGCATCAGTGAAATGGTTAAAAAGAACAGAGTTGGAAGGTATTGAACACTGGCAGAATATGACAGAGAGATAAACGTGTTTTAACCATGACATAAACCATTGTTCATTGACTGTGAGCGATAAGGATTACTGCTATCGCTGAGGGAGCGCAATGTTAACTTGTGCGGGCGCTGAGCGTATCGTGGAGCAGACTTGCGTCACCTCTATCTTACATCACAATACGCACGCCCAACCATGTCCTGATGGCAAGACTAAGACAAGTAAACCAGAGGCGGACGTAAGCGCGGTGATTAAAATGATATTAAAACCATCACCTATGAGTGCTAACCATGGCCTGATCACTCAGTCCACACAAATCAGAGAGAGAGAGAGAGAGAGAGAGAGAGAGAGAGAGAGAGAGAGAGAGAGAGAGAGAGAGAGAGAGAGAGAGAGAGAGGATGTCACAATTGTCACGCGAAGAAGTAGACATTGCAACCAGACTTTCGATCAAAAAAGACCACATTATCTTTTAGTTGGCAACCATGCAAGAAGAAGCCCATGACCATGACTCACAGTCCAGCAGTCGGCCACTACACCCAAACGCACAGGGTCGACTGTAGGGTCCGGATTGCATCGCCGGTTGGAGTTTAATGAGTCGGGATGAATTCGGGCACGTCAGATTTATTATGGGCAAAAACGCGCTAAAGTTTCGTAGGGATGGAGGCCCCAGAGTCGGCTTCGTCGTTACTTCAACCCCCGCGCATCAGTCGATTGTTCGGGCCGATCAATCCACTGATGCTGAGATTGGGCGCGGTGACTGACAGAGCTAAAACAGCCCATCTGCGCATGCCACGCACAATATGCGAGGTTTTTAAATAACGGGCGTGAGCTGATTAGATCGCAATTGCATTAGGATACCCTGGAGGCCATATGATGGATGAATAGAAGAACACACCTCCCCTTTGCGTGAGAGCTGCTTGTTCCGAGGTTGTGGTGGGTGAGGTGGGACGGGTTTGCGTGGGCTGGTGGGTTAGTGCATAACGGGGTTTGTTCTGTGGCATTTTATTGCAGATTTAAATGGAGACGCATGTGGCAAAGCAGTCCTATGCAGTGACTAAGTGTAGGGTGACAGCATAGACAGTGGTAACGAGTGAAGGCCCGGGCTCCAGGTGCCGATTTGTCAGTCTCGTTGCGATGGGCTCACAAGTGACCGATCAGGTCGATGCGGGGCATGGAGTTGCAGTCTCAATGGGGACAGGTTGGGATCAAGTCCACATTACTGGTGACGGAGAGGTAGTTGTTGGGAGGGCATCTGGAGTGTTCTCACCAGTAGTGGGAGTAGAAAGGATGGTAGTTGTCGTTGCAGGCCTTGGATGACTGAGCAGCGGATATAAACTGTTCTTCCTCAGTCTGTGAAAAGACTAGCAGGAGACTTCCCAAGCTGAAACTGATGCTGAGACTGATCATATGTTATCGCTACAGAGGACGATCGGGATAATGCGAAACATATCCAGTGGCTGAGATCCAGGCGCTAGAACGGCGTGATGACGAACAATGTGGGCAACAGACACACCTCGAGAGGATTTTTCGCGACAGATGGGGTGAGACAGAGTTGCTTAACTGAATAGAATATAATAGGTTTATTATAGCACCTCTTGGGCACTGTCAGTAATCACAACAACCCTCTTCGGTCCCATATGTTCTGCAATGCCGACGGGTTGATATCGTGAGGAATGATCAGGAATCGGTACCGGCTATCGAACCGACGGGAAACTGCAGTCATTGACCGAGCTAATGGAATGTTAACTAAAATTTTGAAATGCATGTTCGATTAAGAAGGATTACTTGAGTAGGATTGTACTACCGAATGGCTTGGAAATGAATTCCAAGATGTTTCAGTCAGGCCGGAGTGTCGGCAAGGAACCTTTGTTGGTATTGGAGGGACGCCTAGCTACCATTGCTTAGGCCACGCTCACAGGGAATGTTTACATACAACTTCTTAAAGGGCTACAAGCGTCTCTCCTAATGAAGTTTCTCCACGATCACCAGGTTCACAAGGTTAACAATTACACTAGCCATTATACCGTTGCGTCGGCGGCTGAAAGGAAGTGTATCCAGGAGTCAACATCCTCGCGTGTGTGGAATGTATTGGGTTGATACTGCACGATAATCAATATTACAACCCCATTTAGATAATCCTTTCTAATCGAAAACGCATTTCTGAATTTTAGCTAATTATTCATAGGATCAGCCAATGAGTAAATTCAAACTTCTAGAAAAGCAAGTTGTTGCAAAAATTCCTTGGACCAGGATAACTCGCCTTCTCTTCTTTGATGATTCCACATTAAACATCGTAAGTAAAGCAGATGTGCAGCGAAACGTGGATCAAAAACACGG